GAAGTTCAACATTTAGAGCAATATCACACTTGCTGGAGAGAGTGCGGGTGCTGTCTACGTTCATGCACATTTGATTACTGGGCCTCCGGTAAAGAGGGCGGTCTTGGCATCCGGATCCTTGTACCTCTCATCACCTTTACCTGTTGAGAAAGGCGACGGCCTGATTAAGGCGCTTGAAGCTAAAGTGAAAGATCTTGAGCAACCTTCTCTTCGTCATGCCACTGTGCCCGTTCTCATACAGGCATTGAAGGAAAGTTATGTGAACACTATGTGGATTCAAGAAGAACCAGAGCTCAGGGACTGGGAAAGCCGACCAGAACGGGTCGACGAGCTAATGATAGGTGACACTGAATATGAGGTACGTGTTGGTTGTCTTATATAGGCTTTCACTCTGACAAAACCCAGTCAATTATCTGGAGGAATGGGGTTGAAACACTAAATGGGCAAACAATAGCTTCTGCATTCGAGCAAGATAGACAGTGGGGAATGAAATTGCGGAAGATGTACCAGGTTGTTCCTGATCGTCCGACCGCGAGCAAATTGGGTGCATTGGATTTCATCAATGACACCCGCTACGCGCTCCCTGTTGAGCTAATCTCGGAAAAGTGCAAAGAAGCCGACAAACCAGTCTATCGCTATGTCTTTGACCAGTGCAACCCTTGGCAGGCATCTAGCCGTGCACATCATGCGGTTGACCTTCTGTTTTTGTTTGCGGGTGTCGATTTGTCTTTCAGTCCTGCTGCGGAAACTGTAAGTCGGCAGCTGAGGGGTTGCTGGATTTCGTTTGTTAATGGCATTAGCCCGTGGTCTGTGGAAAAGAGATTTGCCTTTGGTCCACTTGGTGAGTGCAGGGATATTACTGAGGCGCAGTTCGCCAGTCGGAGGCGAGTGCGTCATATCGAAGCGCTAAAGGAAGCAGGGTTGGGCGTGTATATGCCTATCGCTGCCACCTTGGCAGCTGGGAAGATCAGTCTATTGAACTAATTCAACACCTGAAAGTAATTCATATCACACTGTGAGAGGTAACTAATGCATGGTGATCTTGCCACAATACAAAAATTATGGGACAGGTGTGGCGGTGTTAGCTTGGTACAACTGCGGCAATATGGCCCTAGGTATTGAATCATCCAATCATTTTTCAAAATGTCTTGGTATCAACATGCTAGGTACTTAACTGTGCCTAACTGTGCGTTGTGATTTAAGCAGATCAAGATAACTAGTTGTCTTGCAGTCCTACCGCAACAGATGTGCCTGCTGTTATGTGGACTGCCTACAGCGAATCATTTGCCGCCAATTTGAGGCCGCACGATTGTTAGTACATACACTGCCAGTTGCATTCACTGCATAATTCACTTAATCCATGCAAGGCTGTTTTTGGCTGTTCCCACGGTTTAATGTTTATTTGTTTCACAACCTATAAATACAGCCCCTTGGCCTTTCCCAAAGCTATGTCATTTACTATCTTTTAACTCATCATCCTACTACTCTTACCTCTTTATTGCACTCTTTTTGGCATCACCTATATCCGGCTAATATCTTTTGAAACCACAGCACAAGATGAGTGAGCCTGCTACATTGGCTGACCCAGCCATGCTGGACAAGATCGATAAACTCTTCGCCTGCAACGTGGGTGAGTACATCGACTTGCCACAGCTGGTAGTCGTGGGCGATCAATCTAGTGGGAAATCTTCAGTCCTCGAAGGACTTACTCAACTCCCTTTCCCACGTGATAGTGGTCTTTGTACTCGCTTTGCCACGCAGATTATTTTCCGCAGGAACAAGGAGCTTTCTGTTCGCACGGTCACTGCTTCCATCATTCCTGCAGGAGACTCAGGGGCCGACCGCGCTTCTCAACTCAAGGAATGGAGTGCCGGGTGGAAAGGTGGGCTTGAAGCCGAACACTTTTCACAAGTCATGGCAGAGGTGAGTTATTGAGTATGGTCAAGCCATATAGCAACCCAGACTTACTCCCTCAGGTCCACGAGAAAATGGGTCTGTCCACATCCGAAGGCTCTTCTCAGTCGACGTTTTCCAAGGATGTTTTTCGTTTGGAAATTTGCGGTCCCGAAGAAGATCATCTTAGTGTTATAGATGTTCCTGGTATTTTCAAAAACACTACACCAGGACTCACCTCCAAGGCCGACATACACGTGGTCAGAGAGATGGTTGAAGGTTACATGAAAAATCCCCGTTCAATCATGCTCACAGTGGTCCCTGCAAATGTTGATATTGCCACTCAGGAAATTATTGAAATGGCACGTGAATTTGATCCAGGAAGCGAAAGGACAATTGGTGTTCTCACAAAGCCAGACTTGGTGGATAAGGGGGCCGAAGACAAGGTCCTAGACCTTGTAGAAGGAAAGAAACTGTACCTGCAACATGGATGGATCCTGGTGCGCAATCTCAATCAGCAAGAGCTGCAATATGGGAATGTAAATCGTGATCTGGAAGAAGAGGCTTTTGGTCGAAAGGCGCCTTGGAGCTCGATTCCTCCGGACAGGTTTGGAATCAAGTCATTGAAAAATCGGCTTCAGGAGACCGTGACTGAGAATGCACGACGCACATTTCCCTCGGTAAGATTAGAACGTCTTAAGGACTGGCACCGTCTAATTCATGAATAGGTTCGTTCGGAGATCACTAAGAGGCTGAGGGACTCCAAGAATGCATTGAAAGTACTGGGGGGTGAGAGAGAGACACCGGAACAGCAAGCCGGCTTCCTGCTTGATATCGTAGCAAAGTTCCAAGATATCACTTACCAGGCTCTGAGTACCAACTATGGTGCCAATAATATCTTTGATCGTCATAGAGATCTTCGATTGGCTACTATCGTTGTTACCCGTGACACAGAATTCGCTGATGATCTCAATAAATGGGGCCATCAGTATGAGTTCAACATTGACGATGACTTTTGCCCATCTAGCCCAAGTATATGTGAGGGGGAAACAACTAAAACCAGAAAAGTCCAGAATGTTGCAGAACTGGAAGACGTTACTGCTGAGCAGACCCAGGAGAGCCTCCCTTCAGACGACGACGACATTAACCAATGGCTAGGAGATCTATACCTTAATTCTCGTGGATTTGAGATTGGGACATTCAACGTGTCGCTTCTTGCGACTAGCATGAAAAAACAATCTAAGAAGTGGACAAACTTTGCGAGAGGGTACATCAGTGATATCATAACCATGGTTCACAAATTCATAGTGAAGACTCTTGAGATTGTCTCCGGTGATAAACGGGTATACTCCAGCTTAGTTTCCATAATGATGGACGATCTCTTAGAGAAATACCGCTGCGCATTGAACCACGTGGACTTCTTGCTCCATGTTGAACGGAACGGAACACCGAAAACTCTCAATCACTACTTCAATGACAATCTTCAAAAGTGGTAAGTAGTGCACACCTGCCAGTCCAAGATGTTTAAATACTGACGCACCCCAAGTCGCCAGCAGCGCCTAACGGCATTGTTGAAAAAGAAAGGAGTGGAGAACCTGTCTGTTACCGATATTATCATGCAGGATCATATGAGCAACGACGAGTACACGGTCCAAGTGATCCACGACATCCTGGAGTCATATTACAAAGTGGCACGAAAGCGCTTTGTGGACAATGTCTGCGTTCAGGCAGCTGACTACTTTCTAGTCACGGGGCCAGAAACACCTATGAAGCTGTTCTCGCCGGCCTTTGTGAATAGACTGTCTCCGGAGAAGCTAGCCGAGATTGCTGGAGAAGAGGCGTCTGTCCGCCGCCGGCGTGCCAATCTGAGGAAGGAGATCAGGGAGCTTGAGGAAGGTCGAAAGATGCTTATCTGACGGTCGGTGGTAGTATGTAAGCAAGTTTGGTAAAGCTGATACTCCATGATGGAGTACATGTACATCATGGAGGCTTGCAGACACTCTGGGTTGAAAGAAAAGGCTGAAGCGAGGTGCAATAATTGAGAACGAATCTATGTGAAACACGTATTAGCGTTCCGGTAGATAGAAAATGAAAAGTGTTGTTTAAGAATTGAAGCTTGCCACCACATGAGGACATTGGGATGAAGAGAGGCCGTAATCAATTTCCTCACTCTCCTTGCAAGAGTCTAAAACTGGGAACTGAGTGCAACAAGGATGTAAAGACAGACAAGCTAAAGTACACCCACAATGACCTGAACGGGACCCGCAAAAGCAAAAAGAAATGACCAGACTGGGGCTCGATCCCAGGACCTTATGCGTGTTAAGCATACGTGATAACCAACTACACCATCCGGCCACTGTTGAAAAGGGGCTCATTCTTCGCATACAGGAGGCAAAGCTAAACACTTAGCATACATATCATAACATCCCAGAGTCTAGTATATATGTGTAAAGTCAGACCAGTGACAGAATGCCATTCCATTTCCATACTATATATCCTTGTACATTTAGTGGCATCGGTGTGCTATTACAGTTTTCACCAGCTATCATTGCATATACTCGCTACGCTATAAGGGTTCTTATTTGGATTTATAGTTTGACTGTCATGGCTGGATACGGATGCAGTACATCTAGTCGCGCGGCCATTTGCAAAAGTGCTTGCTGCTGATTCGTACATTCTACGTCCTTTTTTTTTCCTCAATGGTATGCAAATGTCTCTGTTTAAGGGCAGTGTCGCACGATAATGTAGTGCACCCTCTGAGTTCGCAAAGTTCGAAATGCATGGTGCGCCAAACTGTTCACCACCAGAGAGATCGAGTATTCGACTTCGAGCGAAATCAAATTGCGGACCACATTAACGGGACACAGCAGGCTAGAGCATTGGATTTATTGCCGTTGCGATATGATTACTTGACATATGTAAAAGAATAAAGTATTTAGGGTCAGTTGGGGACCATCAATTCAGCCGTCATCCGATGCCAGAAAAGGCATCAACACCCACCACAGGAAAGACCAACAACCCAAAAAGAAAAACCCATATTTAGCAGACTACCAATTGACCCACTCATCGGCATCAGGGTCAGGATGGAGCAAGGAAGGGCAAAAAGATGACCAGATCGGGGTTCGAACCCGAGACCTTACGCGTGTGAAGCGTACGTGATAACCAACTACACCATCCGGCCAATTGATGAAAGACTACCTAGTACTCTTAGTACACAAAGAAAGGTACTTGCAGATGACTCAAAAGTAATGGACGAGATGCAAAGTGCAAAAAGCAATGACCAGACTGGGGCTCGATCCCAGGACCTTATGCGTGTTAAGCATACGTGATAACCAACTACACCATCCGGCCAATTGATATACACTCAGGTTGAGTTTTGTGTATATTAAAGAGATTTGGGGACCTGAATAATGTGCACTCGGGTGTTCACTTTGTGTTGTATGCTTATGCTGTGGGATGGGGTTTCTCGGGGCTTTGCGTTGGACTTTACTGATATTATGAGTGTGTGAGGTATTCTCAGTTTGTTTTACGTGATTCACTGTAGGTTTAAGTTGTTGGTGTCTGTGCTGCTGAGGTTGTGGTGGGCTTTTGTTGTTCTGCCAAGATATATATCAGTTCTGCCCCTATGCAGGGTACTTCTGTGCACCCACCTGACCAACAAGCACAATCTCAAATACTACTACTAAAAAAACCCATGGTTATCTTCCATATAGCCTAGTACACACCCTAGTAAATGGTGACCGACTGGAAGCACGTAACATCACCGATCAAGTTCCCCAAAGGGTACTAACCCTACTAAGATCTAGACCATAGAAACCAGACCGCATAGGTCTGTATACCCCGTAGCATGGGGAATATAGATTGAACAACCAAGCCTGGGTAGGTTCTATAAAACAACCAGACTGTCATAATCAACAATGCAAGTGTAACAAACTGCTGTATACTAGTACTACTATGCGGACAAACTACCTAATAATGAAAAACCACTACATTGCCAGACGGAATAAGTTCCACGTCTATGAAAATGGATGGAGATAGATATATTGCTGTATTAATTCTAATTAATTATGGTTGTGCTATGATTATGCACCACGATCGTGGCGGTTTGAAATTTAGCAAGGCTCTGGCAAGACTTGGTAGAGAAGTGATACCCTACTTAACCATAACATGCATTCACCTGATTGAAAAAGCTATCTGCCTTCCTGGGCCAAACCACCACAAGATCTCTGTAAAAGGGATATTACATATTCAACCATGCATATGGACTAAGACTCAATAGAGGACCGGAAAAATATGGTAATCAAAAACCTGGGGCTTAACCACTGTAGCCGTCCGAATGCTGAACAGTACGCCAGTAATAGTGTCGAAGAACATTAGATTTTGTTGTAACACAAGAAAACTACCAGAAAAAAAAAACCGAAGACATACTAGGAGCCACAGCTGGCCAAAATAACACAACAAATACTATTATCATTGCAGATATGATATCTATGTTTGTAATCTTTCATCATATTACCATGCAGCATTGTGAAGCCCTAAAGATTTGGTATGGTAGCTTTGTTTTAGGCTTATAGTACCAAATAAGCGAGCTCTTTTCAACAAGTGGCCGGATGGTGTAGTTGGTTATCACGTATGCTTAACACGCATAAGGTCCTGGGATCGAGCCCCAGTCTGGTCATTTCTTTTTGCTTTTGCGGATCCCATTCAGGTCATTGAGTATGCTCCTGTGCTGTTGTTTCCGCTTTTTTAATTAAGCACAGTCCATACACAATCTGTTGTTGTATACAATGGCCAGCGACCTTGGCCGGCTGTCAGCATCTGCGAAATACGCCGTAGACTAGTGGTTTCTTTGATTTTCTGACCTCACTACAATTTTAGCATGTCGACCCCCCATGCTTTGCGTGCCATTATTGTGTTAATTGTACTTTGATGGACCGATTTAATCCGTGTAAATTGTATGCCGTATGCGTATCTCCAACTGGTCAATTGCTGGTCCCGGAGTTAGGGCTTGCTCCGGTATGCTTTAGTTATAGCGCAGCGGATGCCCCAATTACTCAGCGATGACTGAGATATCGGACATATCGATGCCGATTAATTCAGACCTGGGTTAACTTTCTTAAAAGATAATTTCATTTATCTCACCTTTCTGAACTGGTTAAGATTGTTGCGTAGTCCCCAGCCTTTCCTTCCGATTCATCGTTCATGCCGCACCCTCCTGCACCAAAGGCAGAAATGCACAACATGCCCAAAATTGAGTATCTCTGATTGGAAATACAGTAGCAATTAGCCATCTAGTTAAGACACTGCATGGCTAGCTTAGCATGTTGAAATAGTAAAAAAACCACGCGTCCCAGGTACCCATACAATCCGGTGTAATCAATCCTGTGACCGGTGTATCTGAAGGAATGTCTTTGGCTTTAGCTAGAGTAACATAATAAGACAGGGTTATTTCATCAATTGGCCGGATGGTGTAGTTGGTTATCACGTATGCTTAACACGCATAAGGTCCTGGGATCGAGCCCCAGTCTGGTCATTGCTTTTTGCATTTTGCGCGGTCAACTTGTCTCCGCGCGCAAGCACTTGACAGGGCACATGGGCTGCTTCAAATGCATATTTGACTTTTGTTTTTGGTGTGCAAGTGTCCTGTGTCAATGCATTGGTGTCCCATTTCTAGGAGAAGTGGTTTCGGGAAATCCATTGTCTGTTTTTTATTTGCGGGCCTATTTATGCGGCAAGTCGATTAGACTCAATTATAGAAGACAACCATTTCACTTTGTAGCCATCCGGTATTTGCCGCTGCAGAGTCTGTATTTCGGTAGTTTGGACCTGGTATGAGGTGAACTGAATGCTTATACCTACCACCCCTATCCTTGAATCACCGTCGAAGAAGACCTATACCCTCACAGTTGAAGGGTTAGTTATCACGAGAGGGAAGCCTAAGTGTCAAGAACGGCCATAAAGCTAGTTTTTTTACCAGCCCAATGAGATTCAGATTCTATGTTTCCACTGAGCAGTAAGGACCAGTAAACTGTACCAGCAGATTAGCACCTCTTGAAGAAAACTTACATCGTTGTGGGCAGTAGCGGAGATCCCCTGTTCTGTACAGTAAATGTGTTAAGAGAAGGCACAAAAAAGGTGCCACGTCACCCATGCAGACATAACAGTCGGTTGGAATTGCCAGTGGAGGGACCTCGATTCACTGGCAAACCATAGTGATTTGTGTACTTAGTATCTCAACCCCCAGCACTGAGCCTCCCCCCCCAGTCATTCCATGAACACCACCGATAACCCAAGTGTATCGAATAGCTCCAAAAATGCCTGAAAACGCGCTTCCCCCGTACCAGGAGCTTGAAGAAGGTCAATGTACGCAGCCTTGCCCGGTTCATCGAGAGCTGGCGCCTTCGCCAGAATATGCAAACCCATCCTCAAATGAGCACTGTCCCCCCTCATGCAAATGTGAGGATCCTGACGAGAGCCGCCGGCAAATAAGTACGTATCGCTAGAGCACGTCCAATTATACACTGTCTGATAATTCTCAGGTGCACAGACAGTGGAACACGTCCCAGAACCTGCGGATACACCTCAACAGAATCACAGCCGGATTCGGAAGACATTCGATCCAGCTGTGACGGTTATGCGAAGGGCGTTCGAACGGATGTCGAGCTTCTGGAAGCGGGATAGGAGCTGTACATCAGAAGGCTATTTGAACCTTGGTATATTTATTGGCTCCGTCGCCTGTTTAGCTTCAGCGGGGACAATCGCGATTCTGAAAATGCTCTGAGAAACTACAATATACTCAATTGGCCAGATCAGCTAGGGAGTTATAGCAGTGATCATACAATTTCTGGTTCTAACAGGCCAGCATGGAAATGCCCTGAAGCAATTGAGAGAAAGAAAGTGTATACAGAAAAGACAAAAGATAAGTACTAGCTGTGTATAAACAAAGACTAAAGCGGCCGAGGACCTATCAGAAGTGCCGCTGAGAGCACGGTGGCTTTTAGGCAACCGAGGGAGTACAGAGAGAATCCGAGAGCCAAGGTAGAAGCAGCTTCGTTGTTTCGTTCCTCCAACACCATTATTAAAGACACGCATCGTCTCAACAATGTCTCAAAGCGATATAAAAAGGAAGAATGGATGGGGAGCTTGGAACACCGTGCCATTACCAAAAAGATAAGCCAACCCTCACATAAAGTTACCCCCCGCATCAGAGAAAGCGCTTTCCAACACCCCAAGTGAAAGTACCAACTGATCGTGGTCTGTACCCGCAACAGTCTTTGTCTCAAAGTCCAAAACATTGTCAAACTCGCCCTCTCTACCATGCCAACAATTTTCAACATACTTCTGCCCTGCTTTCCCAATCATAGCGTCGCTCTCAGCAAAAAACGTCCGAATCTTCAACTTATCCCGTCCTGCAGTATTCGCACATTGCCTTCGTTCCAACCCCACCAGCTCCCTCACATAATCCTGATAATCCGCACACTTTCCCCACAGTTCAATCCCGGCCGGCCCCTTCCGCAAGCACTGCAAAGCCTCACTATTCGCCCCAACAGTATTCTCCTCGAACATGAAGTTCATGACGAGAGTTTCAAGCTCAGCCTGAACATCCCTCGATAGTCCGTGTCTCTCCTCAATACGTCGGCGATTGCTTTCCAGCTCGGAGCTACTACCTCCATCTATGCTGACACTTGATGCAACCGTATTCGAAGCCTTATTCATCGCAACCCCACTAGAAGCAAAAACTGGCCCAGCCTTCAGGATCAAAAACTTCGGGATCAGGTGCCAGACACTGAAGGCTTTGGAGGGGATATACTGAGCTAATTGCATGGAAGTGATGTGAGAATGGGACGGGTCGACCCAGGGAGCTGTTAACGTTAATTAACCCCTTACCCACCAGGAGCATATTCGATCAGGTGCCTCGGAGAACGGAAACAATACCTAGTAACGCAACAAATGGCTTCTGTGGATCAAGGATCTCCCGACATTGTATCAATGTGTTCAGAAGATAGACGGTTCCAGCGCAATGCGACATTAGCGCGACGTGCGCGACGTGCAAATGGGCTAGTAGGCGAGGGACCAATTCGACCCAGATAGGGACCCTCTGTTGTAGTGGGACATCGGTGGTACTTCCCATTCCGAAACTGTATCGCATTAGCTACTGTTCTTGCTACCGGGGATCTGATG